CGCATCCTGTGACTAACACCGCGCAGATATATTGGCGAGCTCATGCAAACGAGCAAGCTCACCTCTGCGGGCGCTGGAAAAGCGTCCAAAGTCAAGGGCAAGGGCAGAATCATCAAATAACAATCAGTGCTCGTGCTCATCCCTACCGGCGCAGTGAGCTTACACCAAGTCGGTATTCCACCCAGGCCCCGACTCATCATGGACGCCACTCGTCTCTCGAACCCTCACTACCACGCAATTATGATGGTCTACTGCCTCACATACTGACCATCATGGCATCCTTCCAACACGAACACGTACGCACGTTGAAACCGCGTTTATGAGCATCTGCATAGCGGCACAGGATTGGGACCCGGCGTTCGTCATTACACTTCGATTCAGCAAACAGCTTCTGTCTTACCACCCTTTCGACAACCATATGAGCTCGGCTTGGCTCAGCTCAGTGTTGTCGCAGCTCCATTTTGCGAATATACCACGGCACATTGCGCCCTCGACCATTGGTTCTTTTACAACAACTTTTGCACTTTTACCCGATTAGTTCACGGGGGTCATGGCGACTACGGTGTTACGGGAGTTTTTCTTTTCTTTCCAATTCGATTCATGCCATGGCAGGATTCTGTTCAGTACCCAACCTCGTCCGTTTTTTTCTCTCGGTACAGATGCAAGATTTGACGGAAGCTTTGACTTGCATGTCTTCCAGCCTATAGCTGAAGTATCGGGGCCTTTGTGTCGATACTCGGCGCTATGTAAGGCTTTGTTTTATTTGACGGAGAAAATTAGAAGTAGCATAGCTTGCATGAGCGAATGAGCATGTTTTCGCGACTGCACACAAGGAGCACAGAACGAAGCACAAACTGGTCAATCATGTTTGGTCCTTGCTTGTTTCCCGCCGCCCAACATGTCCATCGTGATGATGCCAATTCACGATACAGATTACAGCTCCATGACTGCATGTGTGTCAGTGCATGTCTGCCCAATCTAGCATCGAAACAGGCAGGACCCTGCATGCCCATGCCAGATACGGTGACCAGATGACCCGTCCAACAGGCTCCAACGACGGAACACGCGCAAGGCTGCCGTGTGGCAGATGCAAGAAAAACTGTTTTGTCAGGACCCGCACCGAGAATGCCCCTCGGTACGTACCTTGCTCGCAACAGCAAAGCACGCAAGACAAGGAAGCGTGACAGCCGTCGCACTAAGAAAACCACGCAAACCAGTTGACACGACGCCCGCCCCCTACGTTACGTCCGCCCCTTTGGATCTCGGACGTGCTTGTCTCCGCTCCTTGTCCTCTCTGTCGATTGCACGAGTGCCGACAATCAACCTTGTCTCATCACATCAACTTGCAGCGACTCATGAACAAGTCATAATTTATTTTTGCACTTGATGACTGTGGCCACCTTAGTGCATTCGGCGACACGATACAGTATACACGCAAAAGCCCCTAGTGTGCACTTTGCGAGGTTCCGACGTGTCAAACATCTCATGTGCCCCGGTGTCCACCGTGTGCCAAGATCACTCACTACACTAACCCTTCGTACAGCAACACTACCGGCTCGTAGCTGCTCGTAGTCTTGCAGCCCGGGGCATCGGTAATGCAGGTTCATGATGCGCCTGTACATATGCGCAGACATGCCACATGCCATCTCCACTTTCCTTTCCGTGCGAGTTCTGACCATGTGTGGCACACAACTTTGCCGACTTGTTACCGGCCGGAGGAAGCCAGGTGGAGAGGACCTGGAAATAAGGATTCTCACCTTGTATACAGAACTTTGCTGAACTCGGCTCTTGGTCCGCTCTCTCTCACGTCTCTGATTGGAGCGGAGACACTTGGGTGGAGGGAAGGTTCAAAATGGGAGATTAAAGATATCGGAAAGTAATGATTCGTGGGGGCGAAATTGGCCGCGCTTGGGAGGAAGGAGAGAGAGAGAGGGGTTCCGCGAGATTGAGTTGTAGGAACCGACGTTAGTGCTGGGTATTGCGATTGACAAGCTCCTGGATGAGCTGAAGCCAAATATAGGCCATCGCGCTTAATGGATGTACACGGTAACAGTGCGCGGTTGTTCAGCTTCTGTACCAGTGCGGTGAGCGGGAGATAGGAGACGATCTTCACCACCCCACCAGCATGACTTCTTCACGTCTGCTCGATCTTCTACTAACTTTTAGACATTACAACAAGAAAGAACACGTACACACCGACTCCTGTATGCGTGCGCTTCATGAAATCGTCATGTAGCCTGGAAATCCTGGTACGGGGAACATGGAGAATACCTTGACATGGTCAATATTGGGTTTCACTCTCATCTTAGCATCCCCGCTTCACGTTCAAGACGTCAAGTCTCGTCGATGCCTGAACCATGCAATCACACCAAAGCAAAGAGTACGGATATAACTACTTGTAGTCGTTGCAAACCTTATCTCCGCAATGGGCGTACTGCACATGTGGACGTCTCCGTCATTACTCTGTCTACTCGGAGCATGGTGGTTTCAATCTCGCATGGGGGTTTCAGGTTCGCATGGTAAGCGTGCAGCATAACCAACCTAACCAGTGTATGTACTCTCGCTCATCGAGCATTGGAGTGAGGCGGAACGCGAAACACTCATGTAGGCGACAGTGTCAAGGATACCGTGTTGGACAGCCCTCGGCATTGCGTCACTGCCAACTCCAACGCCTGGCCCAAGCTCAAGCTGTTTTCCTAACAAAACTGAACGCGACGACTCCCGTGTAGCGACAGACGACGCGTAGTGAAGCGGTGACTTGTCTTGCAGCAGGCCAATCGTTCCTGACCGTTTTCATCTAGATCGAGATCGCGTCGCTGAGTAGGAGCTCGTAGCTACCCCACCATGCACGGCATTCTCGAGCTCTCGCTGCAGCTTCTCAACTCGTTTAGCCCGGCCAATCTTGGTACGCGCGCCTCATTCATCAGCCACTTTGCTTCGTTTTAGCTTCGAGCAACATTTACTGATTGCGAATAGGTCAATCTGGAGCCCAGGTGCCCCTTCAAGGCGAACACAGCACAGCCACACCAACAACAAAGTCGTCTGGGATTCCGGACTATTTTGTAACAGATGACGGACATTTCCAAGGCCCTACCCAAACTGGCGCTGCGCCGTTCCTTGCACAGACAAATCTAGCACCTTTTGCTGGTGTGTCGTACATACCCAATACGCCTCTGGAAACCCAGATCCCCATTGCTGGTAATGCGGACAACAAGAACATCTTCCAGAGCCTGGCGAACATTAGCCCTTACTTCCCTAATCCGAGAGGTTTCGGCGTGAACGAATATTCCATACCGCCTGGCACCAACGTAACATGGCTGAACATGGTTCATCGCCATGGGAGTCGGTATCCCGAGGTTAGTGGTGAAGCGGCAGAGAGGACTCTAGGAAAGAAGCTTTCAGATGCTGCCGGCAAGTTCACTGGCCATGGACCACTCTCTTTTCTCAACGATTGGAAGTTCCTGCTCGGCGCCGAGATACTGGTTCCTAATGGCAAGCAAGAGCTGTTTACTTCTGGTACCCTGCATTATTACCAATACGGTCACCTGTATCCCAACAATGGAAGCAAGGTCGTTGTTCGTAGTACAACGCAACGACGCATGACAGAGTCGGCAGAGTACTTCCTTGCGGGCTTCTTTGGTTTAGGTTGGTCGCAAAATGCGACGCTTGAGTTGGCCATTGAGGCGCCTGGTTTCAACAATACGCTTGCTGGGTACAAGCAATGTAATCATTCAAGCTGGCCTATGGCTCGGGAGGGTCTCATGGAGTGGATTGGCGTATATCTTCACGACGCTCATCAAAGGTTCAGGAGCAACCTTACTGGTGATCTTGACTGGACAATCAGTGATACATACAACGCTCAAGCTCTGTGTTCGTATGAAACCGTCTCGCTCGGTTTCTCCCACTGGTGCGGTCTCTTTACCTACGAAGAGTGGGAGGGCTACGAATATGCTCTGGACCTTTCATTCCAGGCCGGTACAGGGTTCGGCTCTTCTGTTGGCCGAGCTATTGGCGTCGGTATGTCTTGACAACCTCCATTGTATTTCTCGCCTTGCTAACAACAGCCAGGCTACGTTGAAGAAGTCCTCGCTCGCATGCAACACCACGTCATCACTTCCCCTTCCGCTCAGATCAACATCACCCTTGATAACAACACCGTCACCTTTCCAATAGACCAAAACCTCAATCTGGACTTTAGCCATGACGCTGGCATTATAAGTATCCTCGTCGCGTTCGGCATCACGCAGTTTGCCGAAGTACTCCCAACAACCCATATCAAAACGCCACGCGAGTTCATCCTCTCGCACCTCCAGCCCTTTGCCGGCCGTCTTGATATCGAAGTCATCAAAGCGCCTGCGCCTGTCAACCCCAATCGGTCTGACGAGAAGATTTACCTCGACGGACCGCCGACGAGCTACGTTCATTTCATACTTAACCAGAGGACTATTCCGCTGGGGCGGAGTCACAAGGAATGTGGTGATAGAGATGATGGGTGGTGCGACATGGAGACTTTCCTCAAGGTTATGCAGAAGCAGATTGAGCTTGCGGATTATGATTACGCTTGCTTTGGCGAGTATGAGGCTCCTGCATATGGAGAGGTTACGGATGGACGGCCGGTTAGGTAATAGAAGGGTTTTGGGAACGCGTCGCGATGACGGCGTTTGTTTTTGTTCTGTTGCTATCTAATGAGATAATGATGGTTGATGCCAGGCGATGATACTGCGTCACAAAATACTAGATGCACAAGAGTTGCTTAGGATAAGGTGTGTGTTGTCGTGCAGGACTTCTAGACGAATCGGTACCAGGCTACGACAGCGGTGACAGAGACTATATAGTAGGGTTTCCTAGCATACTAGCCTAGATCAGCCCAATACAACTTATGGCCTGAGAGCAGAGAGCAACGAGATGTTCCTCCTTCCTATGGCACAATACCGCAAGCTCACTACCCTTCTTTAACATCCTCGTCCGTGTCCGAAGCCCCTTATAGTAATGAAGCGTACCTAATCATCCTCTGAGCCATCCTCTGCGTCCATGTCCCATTCCTCTGAATCGTATACGTTTTCCGGAATCACCTCGTCTTCGTCTTGCACCCCAATATAGCGCACCTCCTGAGGTGCCTTCGGCCGTCCCCATTGTGACCGATCAGCTGTATATACATGCTCGGAATCTAGCGCTCGACCTTCGAGGCGCAACTCAATGACACCCTCCCCCAGAAATGTAATGTGGGCGTGATTTAACTCACCATCTCCTCCAATAGTGTCGACATGGAAAGCATGTGTGTCCGCAAAATCTGGAATTTCGTCCAATTTTATCCAAAGCCCTTCATTTAGCTGATCCATAAGGTAACACTGTATTCCAAGGGCATTGCTGCGATTTCCATCGAAGGGCCTCAGGGCTCTTGGGCGGATCTCGATGGTTCCAACGTCCCAATCATCGAATGCACCGAAGGAATGTCTGGGGAGCATGCCCTCGACGTAGAATCTGAGGTAATCGGATGAGAACATTACGTATGGGCCAGTGATATCGTCAAGTGGTATCTCCTCGCCCCTTCGTAGCCTTTCGCGAAGTGCTTCTGCTCTTCGCCTATAATGCGCAGCTCTATTCCTTTCCTCGACGATTCTGACCGATTGATTATGTTCATCATCAGAATCCATCTCTTCTTCTTGTGACCAAGTCAGATTCTGGCTAGGATTAGAGCTACTGCACCATACCTTTTTCCAGTTCGGGTAAGGGGTTTACTTGATGTTTAATCGGCGTATTGAATCGGAGACAGGTCCGGTGAATTTTGGCGATTAAGATTTTGATGCGGGATCTAGAAAGAAGAAAGTACTTTGAACCTCTACATGTGCTGTTACAACGGGTCAAGAAACAAAAACGTGGCGGTGGCAAGCATGGATGTGACCTCTGTGAAGAGAGGATCTCCATTTACTCCCCGCTCGAATCTAGTGGTCAGACCCATCGCGTTTCTGGTGAAATCCGCTTATTCGGTCCCACCACCCGCACATGGCTTCAGAACGTTAACCATGGAAACGCATTGTTGTATAAGGTGCGAAAGTAGTATCTGCCCGGAAAAGAAAACTATGGAATAACCATCAATTGTTAGGGTGTTTACCTAGGTACCCAAGCTGTCGGATCCTAAAGACCAGGTGTATCCGCAATCCGGAAAACATATTTAACAGCACTTTGTTTCCCGTCCTTTAGATCTTTCAGGGCCTGCTCCACGCCTTCCAGCCCCCCAGGCCTTACTTCGAACGGATGTCCGTCGAACGTCCCCGCCTGCAACGCTCTCGTGAACCAGCGACAAGTTACCAAACCCAGATCACTAGCATCAGCACCATGAGCGCCATTGTCCTGGTTATGAACAGTGCCGACCGATGTTTTTGTCTTGGTCTGCGAAGACCCAACGTCCCAGTCACTCGGCAGAACAAGATCGATTGATCCATCAGATGCGACGACCTCTGCCAACACCTTCTGACTGGGAAGCCCGATGCCAGGGTCAAGCCCGTGTCGCAATTCACCGTAGTTGCCTTCCTTGAGGTGTGCGCGAATCTTGCTTATCATTTCGTCAGCACCAATGCGGTAGTCAATAACAATATCACCCTTGCTGCTATCGAGAAGCGTTTCGACGTAGTGCGAGCCCTTTCCTGCAATCGCAATGATGGGGTGAACGTTGCTGTTGCGTGCAAGCTTGATAGCAAAGGAGCCGACAGCCGAACTGGCGCCGTAAACCACAAAAGGTGTCGGAGTAGTTGCGGGATTCCAGGGAGTGGGGAGTTTGAGGTTGCGGAATACAGCTACGGCGGCGGTAAGGCTCGCGAGTGGTATTGTTGCAGCTTCTGTTAAGACACAAAGTTAATCATCTGCAACGCAGGGCTCCAAGGTGAAAGGGACGAGTATACCTTCAAAAGACTTGTCGGCAGGGATATGAAAAGTAGTCCAATCCCACGCAAGTGCATACTCTGCGTATGAACCTCCTGGCCCGCCCATTTCATGGAAAGCTGCGACGCGGTCTCCCTTCTGTTCCTTGCATCAGCATCCCTTCTCTCTGTCACAGTTTCTGGACTATGTACCTTGAACTCAACAACATCCTTGCCAACCTTTTCCACTATCCCCGCAATATCGTCGCCCTGGTTTACACCCCTCTTGCTCCTCGCCATTATTGAGTCATCGTCAGGGCCATCGTAGCTAGCGGCAAATTCTGGCACTTTCCAGTCCTTGGGGTTGGAGCCGGAGACGACGACCTTGATAAGGACTTGCTTGGCGCTGGGTTCGGGGATGGGGGCGTCAGACTCAATCTTGACCTTGACTCCCGAGCCAGGGCAGTTGACGAGATTCTTCATTGTGATGATGACGGTTTGAGTCTGAGTTCGGTGAGATTTGGAAGACGTCTAGAGTATCTAGTTACGGATTTCAAAGGCAGTGAGGAACCGTACTGAGCCACTTTCTAGGTAATGATTCCATTCCTTTATCATACAAAGCGTGTACGACATCGCAATTGACATTTGCCGACTCCGTCGTTTCTGCGGCTGAATGTTACAAATGCAGCTGGTCTCTGACCACACTCTAACTCGAAGAAAAAGTGCGACACTCGACCGTACCTAGCTATATGGGGCCTAAGTGTAGCATTTCTCCTTCAATGGTGTAATGCCTACGTGCCTTCCCACGGAGTAGTCGACGGTAAGGCCCACTAGCGCGCGGAAGCGGAGTCTCGGATGGTTAGTTAGCTTGACATTTCGGACGGAGTGCACCGGACGCTGCAACGTCATAGCGCTTCCGATTTTTACCTAGAAACTTCAGCTGCAAAAGGATGCAAGAATCTATGCTCCATCAAACGTCTAAGTGGAAGCTCGTGTTGACAATATTGTCTGTACACTCGATGTAGAAGCACACATCGACTTCTCCTCTGCCAAGATTCAGTGGGGCAGTACTGCTAATGCTTTTAGGGTATGTTGTAATCCAATCGACCAGAGCGCAAGTTCGTTCTTCGTTTTCGCTTTCCTCAATTTCGCCTTCCTCGTTCTCTTCTTGCGACCCATACTCACTTCCAGTGACACCGCTTCTGTCAAGTTCACTCCCAGCAGCATCATCACTCCCAGTAGCATTGCTCCCGTAATGATCTGTACCAGAATCAGAATCAGAATCCTCAGGGTCATAAGATCTCCTAGGGCCGAAAGACTCTGTAAGGTCACCATACGCGCCACACTCTGCCAGGAACATTTTCAACGTCTTTTGATTAGCCGGGTATAGTTGCCCAGTATACCTGTGATTCTGCCATTCTATACTCGCTTCCTCAGTTGCACGCTTCGCAGCTTGCCTGTCCTAGACATGTATACCAGCAAACCAGCCATCATCCATAGTTCATATTTTACCAGAGCGTCAAGAACTTGAAATCCGCAAAGGACCAGACACGGTGTCGACCCTGTTCATTCTCGCGCACACACATACATTCGAACGACTGGGCAAAACGCTTATTGCATGCTATGCAGTCTTCAATTGCGACATTGCCACGATGTAACGCATCAAACCAATACTTTCGTAACAAGTACCCACCCTTCGTGCTTCGCAAGTTCTCGCACGTCAAAAGTAAACACCACATTGGCCAACTTCCATCTCTTCACTTCACGTCTTCATCTCCGTTTCCATCTCCATCTCCAATTTCTCCAGATCCAAGTTTGGCGCCATCTTCTTCGCCCACCAAAGCGCTACCCAGCCTCTACTAGTATCTTTTAGTTTGATCGCCAGCTCCTGCTCTTGCTCTTGTTCGTCTGACTCCTGCTTGTATCGCTTCTCCATCTCTTGGCGCGTCATGCTGCGAAAGCTTGTATCGACCTTCTCACTGAAAGCCTCCGACGCCCAAACGCCAGGCACATAGACTTCAGTCGTGCGATGGAATTCAGGTCGCCGGCGGTGGTGCTCGGCAAGCGTGTGAGTAGCGTGTGGTAGTACTATTGCAGTGCGAGAGAGCGGCTGGAAAGGTGGAGGGTTGGCGACGTAAAGGTGTTCAGGCGACATAGTCACGGTATCTGATAAGCGAACCCGTTTGGGCAGTGGCGATGGCGAGGAGGATTGGCTGCCTGTCAAAGTGATGGCGCGAGGCCGCTTGAGGACCGGTTTAGGCATCGCCTCGTTATGCTGGTGGTCCGGCAACGATGTGGCAAGCGTCTGCGCAATTGCTAGCAGTGGACACTCGAACTCGAACTGACGTACACCTGAACGCTCTTGTGGTACAGTATACTGAAGCCGGCTGGCGTCAGGGGTTTGTGATGACGTTGAAAGTGAAGTGTCTACTGGCGGATTTGTTCGAGACGACTGCAGCTCTTCTTGTGTCATCTCTTTCTCAACAACCATCTTCAGCCATACCATCAGTAACCGGGCTCCTTCCTTCTCCTCATCAGTCGGTTCTCCTTCTTCCGCACCCTGGACGTATCTTAGACCCGGTACCCTAGTCAGCACAATCTTCTTCTTGTCCCACACGTTCAATGCTTCTCTCAGCTTTGGAAGATCCTGGACTGGTGTGTTCTTGTCTTCAAGTAAGTCTTCGAACTTCTCTATGGTGTTTGCCAATGCAATCTTCGCGGTACGCCAGGCCTTTCGAAGGATCTTGTGGGCGTCTGCTGTGTGGCAATTTTCTCCCCTTTTCTGGGACTTGAGCACTCCGCCGCGCGCGTCGAACTGTCCTTGTACGGACTGAATAGTGGCGATTTGTGAAGTTATTGTGCACGTCGGGCACATTAATGGAGAGGCTGGCTTCGGTGCAAGAGTAGCAGCTTTATCGTGGGTGCAGATGCTCGCGACGCAGACGGGCGCGGCGCCCTCAACCCGTGCCATTTTGCGCGGTGTGAGGGTTGAGTGGAGGCGTTAAGCGTAAGTACGGCTGTGGCGAGAGATTGTTGCGATACTGTGCAGGACACCTGAGACCGTGTGTGACTGACCTACGATTCTATCTTGGACTGAAGGCAGCAAAGTGAAAGAGTGCATGCTGCCGCCTCGTGACGTCGCAATTACAGGTGAAGTAAAGGAGAAAATTGGGGAAGCTATCGCAGTCTTCATGGCTCGGACGTAGACGTGTCCACGCTCCGGCATATCTCAGACAATATCTCCAGAACTTTTGGAAGCAGAATAAGGAGGTACCAGATGAGACAGCCCCACCTTGAACATCGTTCTATATACACACCTCAAACTTGATGAAACAGCCAGGAAAAAGGTCACATGTGGCGGAAGGACGACAATCAGTGGCGAGATGAAAGAAGCAAAGAGCTATTTAAGAGTGATGTCATCGATACCTAGGAAAGCGTTCTGCAGTACCTAGGTATTGATAGAGGGAAAGGTCCATCCAGTGAGTCGAATGATTGATAGTGAGAAGAAGTGCGTGGCCTTTGGTGAAGTTGAGGTACCGTGATGCAGGAAGTCCACTCAGGTTTTATGCATAGCTAAGCTTTCTTCAGTTCACACCAGAGGTACCCGCGACGGCCACCATGCGCTGAAAGGATCAAGAAGTTAGCTCACAACGTTCTGACCCGATCAAGACCTTGCTCAGGTTTTCCCACACGGCTTCGGCATGTTGTAGGCGATTGTCGCTATCATAGTACTGTACTGCTGAGCGTTGGTAGCAACAGAGAGTGCTGTCACTGCGCTTCGAACCACAACGCGCAGTCCCGAGTTATGTGTTCGCCGAACACGATAGTACGATGCACAGCTAGGCCCATGATACTACATAACCTTGCTAAGTTTCGTTCATCACTGCCTACTCACATGGCTATCTCCAGGCACACCTATCAAGCACTTCTCTCACTTCTCTCAACAAATCGTATGGCTGCACATGTCTGTGTCTTCTCTTGAATCCTCAGCTATCGGCAAATAAGCTAAGTGCCGAACCGTCGTGTAAACAAAACAGTCAATTACCGAAATCTGTTGGTTTGATCGGCGAGGCGACGTGGACCGTGTGAGGATATACTACCCATGGTCGGTAAATGCTTCTTCTCGGAAAAACAAAAGTCAACATGTAATGCATTAAATCGAACGACATCAAACGGGAGATGACATGTTCGAGAGTCCTGCACGTAGGAAAGGGGTGTCCGAGAACTCAGAAAACGGTTGTCGTGAAGGATATGCTATGACCTTAGCCAAGGCCGCGACCCACGGAGCCCGTGGGCGCGAGGCTGGAAGGAAGCTGCGATCGCGCCACCACGAACGAGGGCATCATCTAGAGTGTGACACCAACATCGACGCCAAACACATTGCATCGTGTTTTCCATCACTTTCGTTCCTTCCTTTTTCTACTTCGAGAGATGTGTTGGTAATAGGACCGAAAGAGAAGACCAATTCGTGCTTTGGAGCCGGTGCGACCATCGTAGCGCCTTCTTAGGGCAATAATGGCAGACCATGCTATCGAAGAGCCACATGAAGACCATGGTACTGCTCCAAGTCTTCATTATAATGCCAGGACGACTTGCATACATAAGGATGTTCCGCAGCCTCCTCCAACAATAGCAACCCCAGACATGGAGAAATCTTCGTGGCTGTCGTCATTGACGAATCATGGATCCAAGCCGCCGTTCATGCTCAAGGTCAGAAGCTCGGATGCATTCATCATCGGGACTATTTCCTTGGCTGTTTTTACTGTAAGTAGTCATCCCTAATATAGCTATCGCTCTGAGCTGACAAAAGAAGGACATGTTTCTGTATGGTGTCATTGTGCCTGTCATACCCTTCGCAATAGGTTCGCTTAGCCATGTTGAAGACGCCCAAGTCCAATACTGGGTCTCAGTACTCGTCGCCGTATATGGCGCTGCGCTTCTTGCATTCTCGCCCATTTGCGGGTGGCTTGCAGACCGCGGCTCGTCACGCCGAACTCCGCTTCTTCTGGGCTTGCTAGTCCTCTTGGGAGCTACCATTCTGCTAAACTTTGGCAACTCGATTGGCGGTCTAATCGTTGGACGAATACTGCAGGGAGCTTCAGCGGCTGTGGTATGGGTCGTCGGCCTCGCCTTGCTGGCTGACACAGTGCCTCAAGAGCGACTCGCAACAGCTACTGGGTGGCTGACTATAGGCGTTTCTCTTGGCATGCTCATATCCCCTATTCTGGGTGGCGTAGTCTACGACAAGGCCGGCTACAACGCTGTCTTTGGCATGTGCTATGCATCGGTTGGTTTGGACGTGGTCCTTCGGTTGCTGCTCGTGGAGAAGAAGGTTGCCGCAAAATGGGATACAAACGCTACGGGCCGCCCACCCGTCGACGACAACGAATACTTAGACAAGACCATAACGCCGGTCATCGCTCCGACAGATCAGGACCTTGATCAAGATGCTAGCAAGACCATATTGCAGCAAGAAGCGTCATTCGTCGAAACGCAGCAGAGCAGTCCGCCTCGTCGACGCCTACGCGACCGTCTACCACCAGTCCTGTCGCTCTTGTACTCTCGACGCCTACTCGCCTCACTATTCTGCGCTCTTATTCAGGCCATGTTGTTGACAGCCTTCGACTCTGTTCTTACTATCCATGCCGCAAACACATTCAACTGGAATTCAACAGGCGCCGCACTCTTATTCCTTCCGATTATCATTCCAAGCCTCCTCTCGCCGTTGTGGGGTTGGCTGAGCGATACGTACGGCGGCCGCTATGTGGTTGTCGTGGGCTTCCTGTGTGGTTGTCCTCCCCTTGTCTGCCTCCGCTTCGTGGACGAGAACACAATGAAGGACAAGGTGTTGATATGCGCGTTGTTGGCTGTCACTGGATTGTTCGTAGGCATGACCTTTGCACCAGTCATGGCAGAGATATCCGCTGTTGCTGAGGCAAAAGAAAGGAAGATGATTGCAAATGGACGCCCAGGATTTGGCAAAGGTGGTGCATTCGCGCAGGCTTATGCACTATACAACTGCGCATTCGCTGGAGGCTGCATGGTGGGACCCTTGCTGGCTGGATTTCTCGTGGACGACAGTGGATGGGGCACGATGGCAGCGGTGCTGGGAGCGCTGTCTGCTGTCACAGCTGTACCAAGCTTTCTATGGCTGGGCGGATGGGTGCTAAGAAACAAGTGATTTCAGTCGTTAGAAGAGCCTGTCGGAATATTTGACTGGATATATTGACGTCCGTTGGTTGCACTCTGCGTGTTGTGCGACATGGTACCAACTGCCTCTGATTCGTCCCAACCTGCCGGCGTTACTCTTGTGGCCCGTAAGCCGCCACGCCACACCTTGATCGCACCTTCACGTCTCGACATCGCATCTCATCACTCCATCATACCTCCATCCTAGTTCGCCACCACGCCTGCGATACTGCACAAGTTCATCTAGGTAGATTGTTATGTCAGCTGCCGTTGGCATGCCCGGAAGCAGCGTCTTGCTTATCCCCGTCGTTCCTCGCCCCATACGTTCAATCCAATCGACCCGCCACCCAACTAAATACAACCCTCGCTACTCTACCCTGTCGATACTTGCTGCACGCAATCAAACCCCTTTTGATACTCTATTCTCAGATGCTGCGCCAGCCGTGTGGTTGCACGAAAGGACCCTATTCGCGGCAGAGCTTCGGTGCGAGTCTTTCCCGAAAGAAGTGACAATGGAATCTGCCTTGGCGCCTTCGCTGCGCATCGGCAGAACCAATCTTTTGAGGATTTTCAGGATGTTATGTCTCCGAGCTGCACTACGTCATGCAACCAGAGAAAAAAGTAGGAGAAACGCGCAGAGCGAACTGCCGACATCGCTCGTGACAGCTTTCCTCCGATGACCTAGAATGATGCATGGAAAACTGCAACTGCATTGCCATGTCCTTGACCATACTACAGGTTCCCGCTAAATTAGCTTGTAAATCCTAGATCACCTGGTCTATACTACGCACTCTAGCTTCTGGGGTCGTCATACTCCGTCTGGGGTTTTCTGGTACCTAAATCTGCGACTGTCACTCTAAGCTCATGCGCGATCAATCACGTTGCGCGGTTGGAATGGCCTAATCCTATAACGTGTTTCAGGCTCTAGGCGACTACGCAAGTACGATTACTCTGCAGCAAGTCCGTCTTCTTCTCAAGACTTCTGCGAAAATGTAGAAGGTCACGCATCAGGAGAAAACACTCACGCCTAGAGTCTTGGGTCCACGATGCCCGTTTTCGCCGGAATCTGTGCGGGGTGTTACATCAGGTCTACGCGCGAAATACGTTCGCGTGAACGCGTCACATGCGCCACATCTACATACGGTGTGCTTAGCAAACAATCTCCTGACCGGATCGACATCTACGTAGCCTCTTATCCGTACTTCCGGGGTAAGGTTCGCTTCAACGGCGTCCAATTTGCCTTCCTTGTTAGGTCATAGGTCACACGCCAGTTTACCTCCAAGAGAACTTGCTAAGCTGACTATGAGTATACCAAGAAAACTTGCTAATTTCACTATACGTATACCGCTCAGATCTGACAAGGTATATTTGCCAGTCATCCCTTGCTATAGCAGTTGCAACTCACCAGGTTAGCACTTGCAAGGGGCGCACAAACACCACCCTTACCAACTGTGGTTCCTATTCCGGTGACAGTCCATCTCAAGCGTAAACGTACTGCTCATTTACGCGCACCCCTTAACCTTTACCTTGGTTCACGACCGCCACATTTTCAGGGCCTTCGCTCTTACTCTTAGCTTCGTATACTACTCAACATCATGATTTTCAGCCGCGCACTTGTGGCTTTATCGCTATGCGCCAGCGCGATTGCAGCTCCCACGTAAGTGTTGTCTACGATGCGGAGGAACACGCCTTTCCACTTCCGGCTGAGGCGTGGCAACTCCGCACTCACTACTCTTTCCCTAGCAAAGTTTGCTTCACGCAGCTGCTGATACATTTCCAGTGAGAAGCGTGGAGTCGACTTCAATTGGGGGTCGGAAAAGATTCGTGGTGTCAATATTGGAGGATGGTTGGTCCTGGAACCGTAAGCTGCCTTTGACTTCCAAAAACCTGAGGATGTGTTACTAAGTATCTCCACACAGTTGGATCACGCCCTCGATCTTTGACGCAGCAAACCAGGGTCGTCCGGGGGATATAGTTGATGGTAAGTTTTTTCCGCAAGATGCGACAGGGTTAGAAGCTAATGCTTCACAGAGTTCACCTTGTGCGAGAAGCTTGGGCATGATGCAGCACTTAGTATCCTCCGCAACCACTGGGATACGTGGGTTAGATGGGAAGACTTCAACAAGATCAAACAGTCCGGCTTCAACATCGTTCGTATTCCTGTCGGCTTCTGGGCATACGACACGTTCGGTACGGCTTATGTCAGCGGTGCAGCCGTCTACATTGACGCCGCTATTGATTGGTCGCGAAGCCTAGGGCTCAAGATCATCATCGATCTCCATGGCGCACCAGGCTCGCAGAACGGATTCGACAACTCTGGCCAACGGATGGACAAGCCCCGCTGGCAAGAAGGCGACACAGTCGCGCAGACTCTGCAGGTTCACCGGACCATCGCGCAAAAGTATGCGCAAGCACAGTATCAGGATGTCGTCGTTGGTATTCAGCTAGTCAACGAGCCTGCATTGTACAACGGTCTTAACCGGGACGTGCTTGCTCAATTTTACCGCGATGGTTATGGTCAGATCAGAGAGGTTTCAGATACCCCAGTGATCCTTTCCGATGGTTTCGTGCCACCAAACACTTGGAATGGTTTCCTCACCCCGTCGGATGCAAACGCAGTAAACGTTGCTATGGATCACCACGACTATCAAGTTTTTGACAGCAACCTCCTTCGCATGTCACCTGCCGACCACGTAGGATACACCTGCAGTAACTCTGAGTCGTACAACGGCGCGGATAAGTGGACTTTTGGTATGTGATCAGATGACCGTACTATTTCTTGACACTTGCTGACTCGCATCGCTTTTAGTCGGAGAGTGGACAGGAGCCATGACGTAAGACAGCCCTCACCTTTGTGACACGTGAGACCCTTACTGACACCGTACCAGAGATTGTGCAAAGTACCTCAACGGCTACGGCCGTGGCGCCCGCTACGACGGCACTCTCGCCAGCAGCTCCTACATTGGATCTTGCGACTGGCAAAACGACCTCTCACGCTGGTCAGCTTCCTACAAGGACGACTCTCGACGTTACATCGAGGCCCAAATCCAAGCCTTTGAGTCCAAAACTCAGGGCTGGTTCTGGTGGAACTTTAAGACAGAGGGTGCGGCTGAGTGGGACGCCTTTCGACTCATCGACGCTGGTGTCTTTCCGGCGATCAGAAACGGGCAGGTGGAATACAAGTTCGGCACTGTTTGTTAGGAGCAAAATGGGACGGTGACTTATCAGCTTCCAGGTAATTGGACAAAACCATGCATGGGTACAATCCTGGATAGGCGAGGGGCACATTTATGAGTAACGACTATGCACATTGTTCAGCTGATTGATGAGATATATGATAAATGCTACATCTGCGCATACATGGCGCTAGCTTCCAGAGCTGAAGTATTCTGCATCATGTGAGTAACGTGGGCAAAAGCAAGTAGGGCGAACCACTGGCAAACATGCCATCGTACGATGTCAGCCAACAGTCGCACCGCTTCCAAACAGTACGACGTTCCAGCTCAAAGACTTACCTCCAACGGATCACCTTATGCGAAATGCGCACAATGGAACCGCGCTAATGGACTCAGCTTCTCCACAGAAAAACAACGTTGTCGGCTCCAGTTGTTCCCCAGATTCCCAGCCGAAAGGCACCCCGTGCGAACCCACAACCAGGAAACCACACATATTCTCCCTACCGGCGTCAAAACTACTACCGAAAAGTCTTGGATAGTGTGCATATGGACTGTTTATTACGATAAGATCTGCAGGCCAAGCTTAGTGGCTGAATAGATTGGAGTGCGCGAGGAAGCTATATTGCAGTACAGTGCGGGGAAAAGTCTTGGATGCGTCCTATGCCAATACCACGCCAAGCGGGTGATTAGAACTTGCGTGTTAACACACCATGCCGCCATCATGCATTACAAAAGGAAGCGCGCATCCTACTTTGCTTGCTGACTACCTTTTCCAGTCCGTTCGGTCCAAAAACTTCTCCTACGAAGAAGTCAGCTTGAAAGAACCTCGCTAAGATGGATACAAAACACCAGCCTACCGTTGAGCCGACGGACGAGAAACCCGTGGCTGTGGCGCACTTGGAAGACAAGAGTGAGCTTGGTCCCGATAAGCATGCTGGCGCGGTGGACTATACCGGCGCGGAGGCGAAGACAGATCCGGAAGAGATTGCACTTGTACGGAAGATCGACTGGAGACTGATGGTAAGTTATAGTGGGAAAGATTGAATCGGAGCGAAAAGATGTGGTTGGCTAATGTGCATGGGGTACAGCCGACTTTATGCGTCATGTACTTCTTGAACTACGTTGACCGCAATGCTATTGCGCAAGCACGTCTGAACAATCTAGAGGAGGACTTGGGAATGTCTGGAGTCCAGTTCAACACTTGCGTTAGCATTCTCTTCGTGGGCTACGTCTTGATGCAGATCCCGTCGAGTGAGTATTTTTTGCACTGTCCGCGATTGATAGGAAGCTGATGTGTACAGATATGCTCATCACAAGGATAAGACCTGGTATTTACATGAGTACGTGGATGTTTGTCTGGGCCATTGTATCAGCTTGCACAGCGCTGGTGCAGAACTTTGGTGGACTGGTCGCATGCCGGTTCTTCCTGGGTATCACTGAGGCGCCCTTCTATCCTGGAGCTACGTACATGCTCTCCATCTTCTACACGCGGAAGGAAGTCGCAACACGTATTGCGCTGCTTTACTGCGCGCAAATCTTGGCTACTGGATTTAGTGGCTTGATTGCTGCTGGCGTGTTCCAGCTAGACGGCGCAAGGGGCATTGCAGGATGGCGTTGGCTGTTCATAATTGAAGGGGCAGTGACGGCATTGGTGGCCATCTGGGGCTTCTTCATGCTACCCAACACTCCATTGACTACCAGTTGGTTGAACCCCAGAGAACGGGAACTCGCCCATGCGCGCATGGAGCGCGACCGCGTTGGCGACTCCACAGAACCCGTCAGTATGATGGAGGGACTGAGACAGGCGTGCCGCGACAAGAGGACTTGGTTATTCTGCCTCATGCAGAACTTCCATCTCAGTGCTTGCTCGTTCAACTCCTTTTTCCCAACGTAAGTGACTTGATTTCACACCTGTTTCAGGGAAAGCTTACTGATGGCGATGACAGCGTGGTCAAGACTCTCGGCTTCAGCACCACAATCACTCTGGTATTGACATGTCCTCCCTTCCTGCTTGCCGGCGCGGCAGGTATCGCTACAGGCTGGAGTTCAGGACGTATGCATGAACGTACCTGGCACATCACTGGCGGACTGCTGGTCGCCATTGTTGGATTCGTCATTGCTGCCAGTACCTTGAACACTGCCGGACGATACGTAGCGTGCTTCATCTTCCCCATTGGCGCCTACTCTGTCAACTCAGTCATTATCGGCTGGGCATCTTCGACGCTCAGCCAGACGAAGGAGAAGAAAGCCGTCGTCCTTGCCATGACAAATGTCGGTGGCCAGATTGGTAAGTTATGGCTTGTACCAAATGCAATGCGAGACATACACTGACTTTGCATCTTCACATCTGCAGGTTACATCTACGGTGCGTACCTCTGGCCCGACACGGATAAGCCAAGGTACGGCATTGGATTTGGCGCATCCGCTGCGTTTGCGCTGTGCTCGATTGCTTGTGCGTGGGCGATTCGCATAATGCTCATCAAGGAGAACCAGAGGCTCAAGGCGTCGACGAATGAGCGCGTCAACTTGTACGGATACTGATGAGGTGGCTGGCCCATGAGCTGTTCCTACACATTGGAGATGGCTTCGTTGCTGTCATAGAGATGGGCTGTCGGCGTTCGTGATAGATCAAAAGCCAATGTATGTGTGGTACTAGTAGGATGCCTACCCCAATCAAAACATAACCCCATCTGTCTACATACATCCTTTGGCAATGTGCATCGTACCCATCGACGGTATTTGAACCCGTTAGTAAAACAACCTGAACTTACGAGGCTTCCTACCACATTCGGTTGATATTGGGGATGTGATGGTTTTATTGTGGGGGTTTGAGTCTTCGTCTCGAGAGTTGGCGATGATGCATGTCATGTGTGATTAGTCTACGCGGCGAGACTTGGAAGTAGACGCTATAATGGTAGATGAGAACAGCAGGCCAGAATCAATGATCGTCAAAGTCAGCTTAAAACAAAACGACGATTAGCCTAGGACTACATCAGATCACGCGCCAGCCGGCGATTGCGTTCTCTGACCTATACTCTTACAAATATTGATACGTGCTGGTTAGTAAGAATGGGCGAAGTCGTCGTTTACATCCTGTTAGTTCACTGCAACTGGCAAAAGTCAATACACCCCCAGATACACAATACTTCCCAGACCTCATTCGAGGAGAAACCACTATCATTACCTCTTCCTAGAGATTGAAACCCCGCTATGCAAATATCAATATTACGCCTGGCTCACCAAATACCTATAGAGCTTGATGCAAGGAAACGCTAGATGACAAGAACAAGAACAATATTAACAAAGAAACTTCCAATTGGTTCTATAATGAAGACTGGGGTGTCCAGTTCTTGTATAGACAGGAGCACAATGTGCTGGCATCCTGAGCCTTGAGCTTGGCGTCGTCGCCGGATGAGCTCGTGCAAGCTGGTATCCCTTGTCCACCTGCTACACTTTGTTCGATACGTGCGGCTACGTTGAGTTAGTTGATGCTCGTGATATGCGCAGAGGAAGTTGATGCTTACCGTATGGCCATGCTTTATTCGCGACCTTTCCCACAGCGATGGTATCGTCTGGATACGTCTGCTGCATCTTTGTGTACAGATACCCGTTCACGTTCGTCGCACCGTAGTCGCACTCAAAGTCGCCCCTCTTGTTCCCAAGACTGCCAGTCACGTTGACAGTCTTTGACCGCGAGATTTGGAACCTGTATCGCTCCGTGTCCTTCCCTGAGTCCAACAATTCGAGATCCTCATTCTGGAATGTAGTATCGAACGTGTCGTCTTGTGCGCCGGACGATATCTTATACGAGCCTGATGAGCCGCTGATGTCCCAGTTGAGGATCGTGAGAGCCTTTTGTGGATCGTCGTAGTAATTTGTGTTTGGCGGGCAGGTCCAGGTATCGGGATCCGCGGTACAGCCGGTGTTGACGGTGTCGAGGAACAGCACAAGCGACCAGCTACCGACTGGGAAGTTCGAAGGGACAGCGGGTGAGGAAGAGGATGAGGATACGGATGAGGGAGAGTCGGTGGCGGTGGGTGAGTTTGAGTCGGAGTTGCTGTCTGATGCAGGTTTGCTGTCGCTACCAGCCGATGTTGAGCCGCCTGTAGATGTGGAAGCTTCAGATGAACTGCTGCAAACGTCGTTAGCTTCAGACGTCTTTGTGGACGTGAACTGGGATATCAACATACCTCTTGTGATCCTTCTTCAGTCCCATGGCCAGCCCAACGCCCAAAGCCACAATCAGCGCAATGATGATAGCGGCAACTACAGCAATCTTCTTCCATCCCCAGGCACCGAGCCCCCGTCGTCTTCGTTGCCGGACATGTCCAAACTTCTCTTCATCTCTATCACTCCATACGCTGACACTAAGATTGCTCCCATTGTGTGGTCGGTCCTCGCTGCTCTCCCTCGGCGTGGTCAGTCTGCCGCCCGTCAACACCGACATAAAGCCACCCTTCTTCTCGTTCCTGTGCACATGTCCATGCTGTACCGGTCCGACATGCTGATGCGATGGGTCGTTGCAGAATGTACTTTCGGTGGTGACCTCAATCTTGGCCGTCTTGGACGGTGTGGCCGCAGGCGATTTGCCGCGTTTGGCTTCGAGGATCACGGAGAGACGCTGGCCAGCCGGTGTCGAGATGCGCTTTGCCGGCCGGTCATCCTCGGTAGGATAGTAAGATTTGGCGCGCTTGGAGCGAATGAAGTTCATTAGGTCGGTGATGGCACTGGTGAGCTATATTGCTTGTGAATCGAAAGGTGTAATGCTGTTCCGTCCGGCAGAAGAAACAGTCGACGTTCTCGCAGCTATGATCGCTCGTGCGGGTGGCTTGCCGCTATATCGCGCACTATAGCTTGGGAGCGGACGGGTGAAGATAACGAACGACGGTCGAAGTGAGTTGAGAGTCAGAGGAAGATATCAGGAGCTATCCTGTCTCCAGCCGTGAGGTACGACACATCCGCTTGCACCATGATGGCAAGCGAAAGCTTGTACGGGGCGAATCTTGTTGACATGTTCCTACTAAGGCCTCGAGCACCTGGCGTCTGCGCTCTATCACGCGCTAATGACCGTTATAGTATCGAATTAAACCGAACATGGCTAGAAAATCATCCCATTCTCCTGACCATCACTCATGTCGCTGGTCATCGGTGGAGCGCGCTGGAGCTGCACGGTGCTGCGTCGGGAACGGGTGCGCCATGGATACAGTAGCTGGTGATCATGGAAGCTCGTCGGGAGCTTTTGTGAAAAGGGACAGGATGGTGGCGTGCTTCACGGCCTGGGGTTCAGTGGGACGCATTCATTTGCTGGGTCAGATGGAGACATCATCGCTGTGCCATCTTCTCGACGTTGTGTCGCACGTGCGAACTCTGTTTGTGGCGTCGTTTCGCGTCCTGAGGTGTTTTTTGTTTTGGAGGATTTATTAGGGGCTGTCCGCCGCTAAGTTCCGTGTTCCTGGTGCCTGTGCCTGCATTCGGCAGCAGGGATCCGCGCCGAGGGATCTGGCTGGCAAACCGACTGGACCTCAACTCCAGGGTCTTTCACGTGCCGGCCTGCAAAGGTGAAGTTTGGATGTTATACTCACTGTGTATGAGAGACAGCTGTAGTACTCGCTGTCTTTAATGTTTGTTGATCGATGAGTCACGCTAGCTGCCGAACACGCCTTCTTTACGCGTCCTCGCTCTCACCGACCGCGTACTTTCCTCACGCGTCTGAAGCTACAAACGTGACTGCCTGCAAACATGCTCTCGCCTACCGTCTTCTCATGACGTCTGCAAACACACTTTAATTAAGAAATCTCCAAGAGCCTACGTAAGTATCCAAGCCGCCACACTTGCGCAATTCATTGTGGACAATCTCCCTACACCAGAAACCCAACATGCCGCCCAATCGGGTTGTAGTCCGACTCGTCCCTGGCTGCTCTGATGGCGATCCCCTTCACGTCCCCGCGCCTGGGGTGTACACTCGCGTCGATCCTCCAACTGTATACTTGGAGAAAATCGGCCAGCAATGGATGGAGGCTCGAAAAGAGGCTCGGCCAGGGGTCCAGTACATCCTCGAAGCCCTGCCATTCGGATACTCGCTATGGCAGCGTCCTCGGCCATCCAACCCAGCTCACTTTGATCGCTATCTTTATGGACATCCTGGAAAGAAGCCTTTCGATTCTCCAAACCGCTTCTTCCCTCATTTTGAGTATACAGTACTAAGACATAAGTCTGTTCGCGCTAAACGCACGGGCCCAACAACAACATGAGATCACAAGACGGATATCTTCTCCAACACCACACAACTCCATTAATATAATGTCTTTTGGCACTGAAAT